GAGGCCTCCAAAAATTTAAAAAAAAATAAAAAATATAAATAGTTTCCTGGGTTCTCCCTGGGCCAGTTCCAGGATAATTGAAAAATTTAAAAAATTCAAATAATTTAAAAAAATCAAATAATTTAAATATTTATATTTTTTAAATTTTTTAAATGTCTGGAGGCCTCCAAAAATTTAAAAAAATTAAAAAATATAAATAGTTTCCTGGGTTCTCCCTGGGCCAGTTCCAGGATATTTGAAAAAATTTAAAAAATTCAAATAATTTAAAAAATTCAAATAATTTAAATACTTATATTTTTTAATTTTTTTAAATTTCTGGAGGCCTCCAAAAATTTAAAAAATTTAAAAAATATAAATAGTTTCCTGGGTTCTCCCTCGGCCAGTTCCAGGATATTTGAAAAAATTAAAAAAATCAAATAATTTAAAAAAATCAATTAATTTAAATATTTATATTTTTTAATTTTTTTAAATTTCTGGAGGCCTCCAAAAATTTAAAAAATTTAAAAAATATAAATAGTTTCCTGGGTTCTCCCTGGGCCAGTTCCAGGATATTTGAAAAATTTTTAAAAAAAATCAAATAATTTCAAAAATTCAATTAATTCAATTATTTATATTTTTTAAATTATTTAATTTTTTGGAGGCCTCCAGAAATTAAAAAAAATAAAAAATATGAATATTTAAAATATTTGATTTATTTCAATTAATTGATTTTTTAAAAAATTTTCAAATATCCTGGAACTGGCCCAGGGAGAACCCAGGAAACTATTTTTTTTTTAAAAAAAAAAATTTTTGGAGGCCTCCAGAAATTTAAAAAAAAATAAAAAATATAAATATTTAAATTATTTGAATTTTTTAAATTATTTGAATTTTTTAAATTTTTCAAATATCCGGGAACTGGCCCAGGGAGAACCCAGGAAACTATTTATATTTTTTAAATTTTTTAAATTTTTGGAGGCCTCCAGAAATTTAAAAAAATTAAAAAATATAAATATTTAAATTATTTGAATTTTTTAAATTATTTGAATTTTTTAAATTTTTCAAATATCCTGGAACTGGCCCAGGGAGAACCCAGGAAACTATTTATAT